TATTAAATAATATTCTTAATATAATTAATAAATATATTAATATTTTTATAATATATAATATAGTTGATTTACTTTATAACTTTATTATTAATTATATTAGAATAGAAAAATCTAATCTTTTTAAACTTTATCTTCTTAATATATATTATATAATAAATAAATTCTTAAGTATTCGGGTTTCTATTATCTCTGGAATAAGGAAACTAAGGAATATTATTAATATTATTAAGAAGTAGATCTCCGGGAGGACTAGGTAGTATAAATAAATTAATAAATAGTATAAAATTATTAGATATAAAATTACCAGGATTAAAGTTTTTACTTAGATTAATTAATAGAGGATTTAGAATAAGAGTATTCTATATAAAATAGTTCTTTAATATTATAAATTATTTAAGAATCTACTGTAGAATATCTTATAATAAATTCTATTACTAATTTCCCTAATTCTGAAAAATATTCTGATACTGTAGTATATTCTAAGACTAATATTATATATATTAAAAATATTAAGGATTATCCTGACTATAAATATCTTAAAAATAAGAAAACTCAGTTATATTATCTTATAATATATATTTAATTATAGGGTTAGAAGAAATAATAGTCCTTATAAAATATATTTTAGAATATAAGAGATTTAACTAGTATTTAAATTTCTTTAATAACTATACTAGAATATAGAACTACTTAGATTAAGGAATATATCTAATAGAGTTATAAAAAAAAATAATAGAGTATTTAATTTAATTAATAATAAAAAAACTCTAGAAATACTAAGATTTATAGAATAGTAAGAAGTAGTAGTACAGCTAAAATTTATAAAACTAGTTTTTTTTAGAGTAGTAGAAACTTTAGAATATATCTTTTTAGAAGTTCTTAAATAATTAAGATTCTTTAGATTTACTAGAATAGATTTTTTTTTTTTTCTTTAATAGAACTAGGGATAGGGGCTATAAATATTCTAGAATATAAAAATAAGAGTAATATTAAGATTATAATTATAGCTAAGATAAACTTTAATTATACTTAATTAATTATAAATAGTAGCTTTAGTTCTTAGAAATCTTTAAAAATTTTCTAAGTATCTTTATACTAATAAATATATTAGTCAGAGAAAAGAAGATATTAGATTTATTTAATAAAGTTAATAATATTTTTATATAATATAGAATAAATAATATCCTAGTTTAAAAAGTATTTCTACTATTTTATAAATAGAGAAAAATTAGTAAATTTAGTAAGATAATAAATATAGACTAAAATATTATTATTAATTTAACTGTAAAATTATTCTCTTAAGTATTCTTAAAATTAGATAATTTAATATACTATTTCTAATATAAAATAACCTAATTTAATATTAGTATTTATAACTTAATAGTTATATCTAATATTTTTCTTCTACTAATATATTACTTATAAATAAATAAAATAATATAAAAGTTTTTAGAGAAAAAAATAAATAAAGATAACTAGCTAAAAATAACTCCTAGATTTATTAAGATATTTAATAGAAGAAGAGTAGTAGTTAAAAAAAAAAAAAAGAAAAAATATTAGTAGTATAATAGAACTAAGAATAAATAGATATAAAAATTAGAAAAAGTAGATAAATAATAGTTTTTAGAAAAGTATAAATATATTTTTAGAAAAGTATAAATATATATAAATTTAATTACTATAAATTAGATAACTAGGGCAGGGCTTGATAGATAAAATATATAAAAAAATTTAATTAATTTATAATCTATAGAAATACTAAGATAGACTTATCTAATAGAAATTATAAACTAATAATTATATAGAAAAGTAAAATATATAAATACAGAATTAGAATACCTGATATATTCAGAATATAGAAATAAAAAAAATATAGAAAAAATACTGAAATTCTTTAGAAATATATAGAAGATATATCTAATAACTAGAATATACTACTATATATTATATATAGCTAGAATAATAATAAATTAAGATAATAATTATTAATAAAAAAATAGTTAAATTAAGGATATATTCTAAGATAAGCAAGTAAGAGTTCTACCTACTTAGTAATAAGAAAGACAGCTGAGAAAAGAAATAATAGAATCCTTAGGTATACCAAGGAATACTATAAATTTATCTAAAGAAAATTCTACTAGATAAATTTATAAAAATATATAGAAGAATATATAATAATATATTTAATTTATTAATATTAAATAACTTTTAGATATTAACTATATAAAAGATTTAAAAATCTATTAATTTTATTATAGCTCTAGACTAAAATTATTATAAATTTTATTATTAAATTACTAGAACTCTACTATTAAAAAATTTAGATTAATTTAATATTTATTATTATTAATTATTTTATAAAACTATATTATTTCTTATTTATATTATATATAATAAATATAAAATAACTAGCTAATATCTTCTATTAAGAAATTAAATTAAAATATAAATTATTTATAAATATAATTATTAATAAAAAATCTATATTTACTAGTTAATTTTAATTAGATCTCTACTTCTAAATTAAAATAAAAAAAAATTATTAATAATATTTTATTCTTAAATTAATAACTAAATTAAAAGAATAAATTAAGTTTTAAAATATTATTTAAGATATTTTATTATAAGAAACTAAGATTACTAAATTAATATATTATCTAAAACTAAATTTACTTATAATAACTATAAAAATATATTAATTAAAATAATTTTTTTTTAAAATTTTTATAAGTTATATACTAGAGTTTTAATTATAGATTAAAAATAATTTTATAAAAATAAAGATATTATTTATTATTAAAAAACTAAAAAAACTTAATAATTTTTAAAAAAATCTATATTAAAATTAGTAAAAAATTATTAAAAAATAAATATTTTATTATAATAATTATTATAATATTTTATTTTTTAAAAGAAGAAATAAAATAATATATATTTTTAAAAAAGATAACTTAATTAAATTATCTACTAAAAACCTAAAGTTTAAAAAGATAGTTTATAAACTAATATCTAAATTTATTAAATTATTCTAAATTATAAATATAATTAAAAAACAGATATTTTATTTATACTTATTAATAAAATATAATTATTTATATAATATTTTTTATATATCTTTTCTAGAATCTTAAAAGATTAAAAGAAATAAAACTAAATTATTACTTATATTTAATCTAGATAATAATAATAAATAGAAAATAGAATAAATACTAGATAATCTAATATTATAAAATAACTAGTTTTATTTTATAAAATAAAAAAAATAATTTTTAGAATATAATTAATAGTTACTAGTTAAAAACTTAATAAATATTTTATAAAAAATATATAAATTTAAAAAAAATAAAATCTAAAAAAAAAATTAAATAATAAATAAATTATTATATAATACTTATATAATTTACTTCTAGAATAATTATAAAATTAAATAATATAATATAAATACTACTAGTAATAGTCTTTTTATAATTTTTATACTTCTAGATATTAATAATTTAATACTTAATAATATTCTTTATATAAAAAATAAGAATATAATAGAATATCTTTATTTTTTTTATAAAATTAAGAAGATATTATATTTAATAAAATATTTATTAGTAATACTAATCTTCTTAATATATTTTATTATCTTAGCTAGATCTAGCTGTTTAAGGTCTTGGCTGGATTCAGCTATTAAAATTATAAATATATATATAATATATATAAAAACTAATAATAAAATAATATAATATAAAACCTAAGATATATAATTATAAAAAAAAATATAAAATAATAATATATTATATTTAGCTAGACTATAACTATATTTATTATATAATTTAAAATATAAATATAATTAGTATCTATTTAATAATAATAATAAAAAAAAATTATATAATAAGATATTACGCCTAGTAAAATATTATTAAAATAAAAAAATATTTATAAATTATATATAATCTAAATAGAAAAACTTTATTTTATTTTATTAATTATAATCTTCTTTATTTTATTTTTATTAATAAAATAATATATAACTTTAGTAATTATAATATTTAAATAAAAAATAATAATATAAATTTAAAGTAAATAATTAATATTATCTAATAAAAATACTAAAAATTTATAATTAATTTTAATTTAAAATATAAAAATATAATAAGATTTAATTTAATTATAATAAATATTTATATTTTTTTACTAAATTATTAGTAAAATTAATTTAAATTATAAAAAATATTTATAATTATAACTTTTTTAATAACTACTATTAATTTATATTTAGAATAATAAATATATTTTATATTTATAAATATTATAATAAGAGAATATATAATAAAATTATATAATTTATAAATAATAAAATCTTATTCTTTATTATTATTATACTAAAAAAAATTAAATTATTTAAGAATTATTATTAATTTTTTAATATTTCTAAGTATTTTAGCTATAATTTATAATATAATTAATTAAATTTTTTTTATTTAATATAAAAGAATTTATAGTAATATAATTAGTTTTTCTTATAATATATTAATAATATTTTATATTTAATACTATATTAAAATAATAATTAGATTTAAATAATTTATTTATTTTTATATTAAACTACTTTACTAAAATTCTAAGATATTTTAAATAAAATAATATTTTTAGATTAAGAAGTACTATAAATAAGAAATAATAATTTATATAAATAATTATTATAATAAATAATAGATTTTATATTTATTTATTAATTTCTTAATATTACTAAATAATAAAAAATATAAAATAATATTTATATATATTTTAATAAATATTTACTAATAAAAACTACTTAAAAATAAGTATTTTATAATAGAAAAATAATAAAATCTAGAAAATTATAATATTAATAAAATAAAAAGAAGAAAAGAAAAAAATATAAAAAAATTATTATTATTATAATAAAAATAATATTATATTTCTAAAATAAAAAGATATTATTAAAAATATATTAATTTAATATAAATTAATATTATTATTTTCTACTACTAGATACTATATTAATAAAAATAGTTAATTTAATTATTAAATTAATAATATTATACTATTATTTTACAGCTGAGGATAACTGCTATTAAAAAAAAATTAAATTATTATAATTAATCTATATAACTAAGTAGTTACTATAATAAAATACTTATATTTTAGTTATAAAATAATTATAATATTAATAATTTAATAGAATCTATATCTTAAATATCTAGGCTTTACTTACTCTAGGAAGATAAGGATTAGTCTATATCTATATAATACCAGTACTTTGATTCTATACCTAGCTGACCTTTTCCCTTTACAGTATTTTTCTGTATTAAGTCTTATTAAGCTTTAAATTAGAAATCCTTGATGTAAGTACTAATTTATAACTATATAAAGCTGTATATAAGATTATA